CTCGCGATCTCCGGCGGGCCGCTGTGCTGCGCGCCGTCAACGGCGTTGATGATGCTCTCGTGCGCGTGCGGCACGTGGAAGACCGCGTCGCCGCTGCCCCCGTCCAGCCGCTCCACGTCGCACACGGAGAGGCCGCCAGCGAAGTCTCCCGTGCAGAGCGTGATGACGGACTGCTGCTGCGGGGAGTTGTGGCCAAACGTGCAGCACTTGATGGGCATCTTTGTCTTGATCTCGCGCTCGACACGCAGCTCGCCCTTGTTGAGCTGCAGCAGCGATATGGCGCCCTGATTGTTTGGGTATTGTCCTACCACGGCGAAGGACGCGCTGTTCGGCACCCACTTTACGTCAAAGGCGGTGTAGAGGAGATTCTTCTTTACATGTTCGATGACCTGCTGCCGCGACACACGCCGCTGTTCTTCGCGCTTCCGCTCCCTCTCTTCTTCCTCCACAAGGTACGACATGTGGTGCGCTAGAAACTAACAGGTGGAAAAGAAAGTGGACGGTGGCGGGAGAGCGATACGTGTGGGAAAGCAGCAGCAGCACACGCTTTGGTGAGGCGACAGGATACAGACAGCAGCAGCAGCAGCAGCGAGAGAGAGAGAGAGTAAGAAAAAAAAAAAGCACAAAGGCAATGCAAAACAATAAAAGCAGACAGAAGACTTAGCGTAACGAGTAAAATAAAATAAAAATGTGCCGGCATCAAGGGCAAAACATTTTCCTCCCGCTGTTCCCTTTTTTTTNGGGGGGGGGGAGACACAGAATTGCTTGCACGGGTCTGTCTGTCACCATCGTATCTACCTGTTCTATCCTCGTTTATTTTTTACTTCGCTTATTGGCGCCCGTTCCGCAAGTTTTTTGTACTTGAGCCCGAGTCGGGGTGTAAATCTGTCACCTTGCCAGTGTGTGGCGCAGGCATTTCTTTTCGTTATTTCTTGTTTATTGTGCGTGCATTCTGTTTCTCGGGGGGATTTGTAATATCCGGGCAAGGAAGACATCCCTCGTATGAGTCCGGTGACGAAGAGGAATAAGGGAGGGGGGGTGAGAAAAGGCACTGGCTCCAGCGCGGCCCCACTGAAGGTCGTGAGCCGCCCCGCACATCGGGGGAGTGCAAGCGTCCCACTGGGTTCATATATATATATATGTGCCTATGTGTGATTTTCCGTTTGCGCCTCGTTTTCTTCGTCACTACTGCCTCACTGTTCCTTTCGGCTTGTTCACTTTTCAAGCCATTTTTTGTGCTTATTTTTTCCTCTTGTTGTTCTTTTATGATTTCTTTTGTTTTTGGTTTATTTCCTCCTTCCTTCGCCATCCCATTTTTTTTTTTCCTCCTTCGTGCTGTTCCTTCCCCCTTCGCCTCGCCTCCCCCTCAGCTCCCCTGCACACGAGAGAAGAGCCCTTCGCCACGTCGCTGAGCCGGGCAGCGCGCGGGGTTCCGCCGCTTGTCGCTGTCGGCATATTTGTATATAGGCGTGTACGCGTGTGTGCGTCTGTCTATAGCCGCAGCGCGGCCCGCAGACGCTCCTCCCACTGCGGCGCCTGAGGTGTGCGGAAGAACAGCCAGTCAGTGTCCGACAGCCTCAGCGCTACGTGGTCGCCGTCGATGCAAGCGACCTGCTCCACCTGCTGGAGCGGGATACAGCCCTTGTCGCCGACCCGAGCGCCCTGGCGCTGCAGCAGCATCAGCTGGCCGTCAACCAGCTCCATATAGCGTTCCTGGTAGTCGTGCGGTGGCTTGAACTTCCACACGGCTCCAGAGAACGTCACCGCCCGGTCGACGCGCGGCAGCGGCTGCAGCTGTGCGGGGCTGATGTCATATAACACGCGCTGCAGCAGCGAATCCTCTACGTTAGAGGCACGCAATACCTGTGGGAAGCTGCTCAGCGCGGCGACAATGGGCGGCTCGCTAAGCAGCTTCGTGGTGTCTGGTCGCTCCGCCGGCGCCTTGCGCAGCAGCGCATAGACGATGCGCTTCAGGTCCTCGCTGTACGGCGTCTCGATCGGCGGCACCGCCTCGTTGAGCACCCTGCGCCGCAGCTCCTCGTACTTGGATCCCTCGAAGGGCAGGCGCCCGGCCATCGCCTCGTACAGCATGACGCCAAGCGACCACATGTCGGCCGGCACCCCATAACGCTCGCTGCGCCACAGCTCCGGTGCCACGTACGCGGGGGTGCCGCAGATGGTACGGCCCACCTCGCCGTGTATCGTGTCGTACATATTGCTAAGGCCAAAGTCACCGATCTTCACGAGGCCCTTTGTTTTGAGCAGCACGTTCGCCGGCTTGAGGTCGCGGTGGAGCATCTTCCGCTTGGTGTGCATGTAGTGAAGGGCAAGGATTACCTGGAGCATGATGTACGTGATCTGGTACTCCAGCAGCGTTGCCCCGCCGCGCAGTTGGAAGCGCAGGTCGCCAGCATCACAATACTCCATCACGAGGAACAGGTACGACTCCGTCTCGAGCTTGTCGTGCAGCTGAATGCACGCAAAGTGGTTTACAGACTCCAAGCAGCGCACCTCCGTCCGCGCCCGCATCAGCGCTGAGGGAGAGCAGCTCCTAAGCGGTGTGATCTTCAGCGCGTATGGCGTACCGGTAGCGGCGTCCTTTATCTCCCACGTCTCGCCGCAGCCGCCGTGCGCAAGGTAGCGCACGTACACGTACCTGCAGTCACCACTGCCTATGAAGCCCGGCGCAGTGATGCGGCTGCCCACCTCCACCTGCTCCATCTCGCGCGACATGGCGCCTACGCAGTGCCGAGCCTCCCGTCGCGCTGTGTTGCCGTCGTAGAAGCAGCAACAAAAACAGACCGAAGAGAGAATAGAGAATAGGTGCAGCCACACGAGCATCGTGTGTGCAACAGAGAGAGAAAGAGAGCAACAGCCATGCAGGCTTCGTCACTTGTTAAGACACCATCGCCCTCCCGCTCCTCCCGTGCGTCCACCACAGCAGCGGGCAGACCGAGAGGAGGGTGGGAAACAGAGACACCCGTGTTGGCGAGACGCGTTTTTGCTACGCTGCAACCCGGCATGACACCGGCACTCGCCCGCTCGCACTCTTAAAAACTATTTTGTTTCTTCTTCCCGCATTCGCTCAGTGTTACGGCCACCAGACAGACAGACAAAGAGATATAAAAATAAATATACCACAAAAAAAAACAAAAAAAAAACAGAAAAGGATCAAAATCAGATGCGGTGAAAAGAACACCAGCAACGCCCTCCGCCGTATTATCCCCAACTCGAAAAAGTCATCTACAAACACGGAGCGAAAGGCAAGATGGGTAGAAGCCACTGTAGAAGCAAGAAGAGAAGTAAACGTTTGTATCAGTAACAGTTAGAAGTGGCATTCGTTCTTGGTCTCCACCCACACACGGAAAGTATTCGGGCACACACACTTGGGTGTGTATGTGTGTCCATCACTCCCCCATTCTCCTTGTATATATCCGCTTTTGTGCGGGCACAGACACGGCCGGCCGCCTACAAGGGGGCAAACAAAAAAAGACAACAGAGAAACGAGACCAAAAGGAAATCTCACACTGCCTGCTATGGCCACTGCACCTACTTGGTTGTACTACTACTAATACTACTAATATTACTAGTAGCGCTACTGCCGCTGCACTTGCTACTGCAAGCTTCACCAGGCTCACTTGGCGTTTGCAATCGCAGCCATGTCACGCAGGGCCTCGGTGATGTGCTCCGCAAACCGCTTCGACGAGGTCATGGGGCAGCTGTGCTTCGATGTGATGCTGAAGTACAGCAGCCGCTCGCCGTAAATGCAGTAGCACACACCGTAACCGTCGTCCGCGACCGGGCCAAAGCCGCCGTTGGGCGTCTCGAAGGGCACATCGTCCTTCGCGTGGAACTCCGCTGGTATCTGCCGCGTGAGCACCTGCGACGTGCTGAGCCTCCACTTCGGCCGCAGCGCCGCCTGTAAGAACTCCGACACCACCTCGTACGCGGCGCTCACGCAGTAGAGTGCGAAGAGGTGCCGGTCCACGCCGCGCCCGGCCACCGCGTCGTGCGATGTCAGCTGGTGGCGCTCACACGCCACGCGCAGCAGCCGCAACTTCTCCGCCGAACTCAGCGACGGCTGCTGCATCGCCCGCACAAACGCGCACGACTCGGCGCTGACGGTGCGGATGGTTTCGGTGCGCCCCTTGCGGTACATGCGCAGCGAGGCCGCCTCGTACGTCTGGTCAAAGCGTCCCTGGTCTCGGAAGTACGCGAGCTGCATCGCCATCTGCACCCACGCGTCTGGGCTGCAGTGGTTCTTCTTGGGCATATCCTTACCGTATTCGGCGAAGCGGCAGATGTCGAGATCGACGTCCTGCACTTCGTGTAAGTACCGTTCGTGAACAGTGCGGATGCTTTGTTTCATCTCCTTGTCGATGGTGAAGCGGATGCGATTGGGGGGGAACACCTTAAACTTGCCTGCTGCCAGCGCCGCCTCGTCTTCAGCGAGCTTCTTCACGTGGCCATCCTCCGTGTACAACTCGCGGTGCTCGTCCGATACACTGAAGTGCTCCAGCACGTGGGCAAGCGTCAGCGCGTCGCCCCACGAGTGCTCTACGTGCACGCCGCAGCGGCCATCCTCCAATACAATGACGTTGAAGCTCTTGTCGCTCCACCGGTTGTGGCCGTTGCCGCAGAGGTATAGCATTGCCTCCTCGTTAATTGAGGTCGGCGCGACGTCATCAAGGGAGAGAACAAAGATGGCCTCTTCAATCACCCGCAGCGGCTTCACGTTGTAGGCGTTGTTGACGAAGTGCTTGTCGCGTATATCAGCCCACTCCGCACGTGGGGCGGCAGTGAATGCCGGGATGAGCGCCTCGATTGGGTCCATCTCATCATCAGACTGCAGAATCGACTCCAACGCCAGTTCCAGCTGGTAGGGCGAGAGCTGGTGGTTTGTCACCGGGTGCAGCACCTCCAGGCTATAGAAGCGGCCCTTGGAAATCACCACAATGTGCTTCGTCCCCTCGTACTGCATCAGTAAATCCATCTCGCGCCCAGGAACGCGGGTGGTGTTGAACACGTAGCGGTACTGGTCCATCTCAAACGGGATGAGGCCACCGAACTGTGGCGGGAACGTGCGTTTATCGAGGCGCTTCTTCACGCGTACAAGATTGTACACCGCGGCAGCAGCACGTGAAGCCTGCCGCGAGGTCGGCACATACTTGGCGAACATCAGGCCAAACCAGTTGGAGTTGATGCACAGGCTCTCCCGCTGAGAAAGATACACATACTTAAGCCACCAGTCTGCCATGTAATTCTCAGCGAACATGTATTTCAGCTTCAGAAGGCGCTGGAACCGCCGCCCCTCACCCTGCACAAACTCCCCCGCCAACCTGTTGAGCCGCTGCCACTCCACGGGTTGTCCCTCGTACAGCGGCGCGACCGACTGCATGAAGCGTTGCACCGTCATCTCAAGGTCCGGCAGCGGCTGCGCCGGCAGACAGCTGCTGTACGCCTCTGTCCGCTCAAGGCTGCGGAAGAAGAGCGTTTTGAGGATGAACGACCAGGCTATTGTCGCATAACTTTTTTTCCTGCGACCCTCGTATAGCCAGCCGTTGTACTTCAGCACCTGCCGGAGGGCGAAGCGCTGCACCGCGGTGAAGAGTGTGATGCAACCAATTGCGGCATTCGCAAAGAGCGCCGGCAGGCGGTAGCGAGGGTCAATGCGCCTCGCGATGGGGTTGTGTTCATCGAGGCGCCAGAGCAGCTCTGACAACGCATTGGTGCGAATCCATGAGTCAGACGGGGAGCGGAGGACCCATACGAATACTCCAAATGCAAACGCCGTGACGACGGACAGCGGAACTGGGTATAGTGCATACTGAACCTTGTCGATTCCATGCCAAAAGGAACGGCGCATGTTCTTTATAATGAAGTACGGATGCGGGATATAGAGCACGAGGCCACTGCTGCTTACAGAGAGCTGAGCCTGCTTCCTGCTGGTGTCAACCTCGAAGCCCACGTGATGGAGAGCGGCCGTGGGCCGCGCCGCAAAGCGTGCCTCCGCCATCTGTGTCTTCGAGCTCTGGCTAAGTAGCTACCTATCCGTGTGCGTGTGTGTGTGTGTGTGTGTGTTTAAAGAACAAAACAAATAAAAAAGTTGGGTGATGCAGCAGCTGTAGCAGCAGCAGGAGGAACGAACTCCAGCAGTTCACAAGGAGGCGGCAGCGGAGATTGGCGCCGCCCCCTCTCCATAACCGAATAATCCTCTCAAAGTAATGGTTCTAGTGAAATGTCGAAGAAGAGGGTAGTGCATTACTGGGGGAAAAAGACAATAATAACCACAATAATAATAATAATATTTTTTGCCCTCATTGTCATTCTTTGACCAATAAAACGAATTCATAATAACGGTCGTAGCCGTCGTCTGTCCCTGTTTTCCGGATGCTGCAGCGGGGACAAAAAGAAATGGAAATGGCGGCGACAACTAGGACGCGAACATGTTCTTGTAGATCGCTCGCTGCTTCTTCTCGTAGGTCTTGCGCTCCTCCTGCACGCGCTGCAGAAGCACCTTTGCGTCGGCGTTGGACGTGTCAAGGGCAAGCAGCTGGTCCAAGTCACGTTTCGCGTCATCCCACTCGCCGAGCGCATCGTTCGCCTTAGCGCGGCGGTAGAGCGCCTTGGTGTTGTGCGGCTCCGCCTCAAGGATTTTGTCGCAGTACTCCACGCTTTCCTTGTACTGCCGCTTGCCCAGAAGCACCTGGGCAAGATTGCCCCACACGACGTGGCGCAGTGCGCAACACGCGTCTTTCTCCTCGTCGGCAAAGCCGCTGTCATGCTCAACGAACTCCAGGGCGCGGCGGTACTTGCGCTCCGCCACGTCAATGTTGCCGTCACGGAAGGCGGCGTTACCCTGCTGCTTGCGCCGCTCGCTTTCATCGAGGCGCGCCTGCCCCTTGAACTCCCACGTCTTGACCGTTGTCAGCTCTTGCAGGTCGACCACGTACGTCACCATCTCGCCCGCGGCGATGCCGAACTCCTCGCAGGGTGCGTCGATGCGGTGGCCGGCGACACGGAACGATGCCGCCTCACGTTTGCGCATCGTCGAAAGACACGTCTCAAGGTGTGGGGGCAGTGGTGTGTCCCCCACGACGATCTGCCAGCCGAGGCGCTCGCACAGAAGCTTGTCGCTGTCCTTGTCGCCGCCGTACACGCGCAGGTCGATCGTCACCGCTGACTCGTAGCCTGGCCGCTCGTAGTCAACGCCATCAACGGTGATGCTCTTCATGATGGACTTATCGCGCGCCTCCGACACATCCTCGTCGCGGGTCCAGTCAAAGAGTTCCACTTCAAATAGCAGTGTCGCGTTGGCCGGGATCTTTGGCGGGCTGCCAGCGGCGCCGTAGCCGTACTCCGGGGTGCAACGCAGCACCGACTTCTCGCCCACCCGCATCGTCGCGACACCCTTGTCCCAGCCCTTGATCACCTGCCCACGGCCCAGCGTGAACTCAAAGTACTCACCGCGATCGCGACTGCTGTCAAACTTCGACCCATCCGACTCAAGCGTGCCAACGTAATGCACCGTCACCTTCGCCCCCTTCACCGGCCGGGTGCCGCTGCCTTCCACCAGCACTGTCTTGAAGAGGCCGCCGTTCGTGTCAGGCACCTCCGTCGCCACACCGACGGGGTAGTCCACCTCCCGCATGGGTTGACTGTCGACACTCGATACACTGCTGTCTGCAGAACTCATCGCCGTGGCCGTCCTCTTGGGGTGTGTGTGTGTGTGTGTTTTATTACTTGACGCTTTTTTTTTCGTGTTCTCGGTTGTTGCAGGAGGAAGGAAAGGCAGCGACGGAGAGGAGAACCAACAAAGTATCAAAAATAAAAAATAAAAGCGAGGGAAATGGTGATCTGCGCAGTCAATGGCCATACAGATAAACGGTCAGCCGAAGATTCTACAAAATACGCCAAAAAACCAGAGTGGGCCTTTTTTTTTGCCTTTGGGAGGTTCCATTCATTCCCTCCTTCGCACACACCTACACAGCAACCTGCGCACATATACACGCATAATCCCTTTCCACCACTTGCTTGATGTTGACGCTATTTCACCGCGTAACCCGGCTCTTCTGGTGGGTTCTTCGTCATCCCGAGGGTGGCCCAGCCGGGGGCGTGTCGCGGCACAGCCTTGCGGTTGCGCTTCAGGCCGAGTGCCTCCTTCAGTTCGCCAGCCTCCAGCGCTGGACCCTGTAGACGGTAGTAGAAGCGGTCCAGTGTCGTCGGACTGTCCGCAGTATCCTGCCGGTCATGCATCTCGCTCACCGTCATGGCAAGACGCTTGCCGAGCACCGCCGCCCCACGACTCGCTTGCTCCAAGTTTGTCTCGGGTGGGTGCGTCCACCGCTCAGCGGACGTTGGGTGGCTAGCGCGAAACGGGGCGGAGATGTCAACATCGCCACGCGCCGCATAAAGTTCCCGGTTGCCCTTTGGCAGGTAGCCAAGCATCACCTTCATGTCACGCTGGCGCTGCAGCGAGAGGCCGTCGTCCTTGTCAGCCCATGCGGTGCCCTTTTCAAGCTTCTGCATGTACGCCAGCCGTTCGCGGGCTGTTTTCTTGCTGTTCAAGTCGTCGAAGTACACCTCCCGCTCGTCCTCAAGGATGCGGCGGTCACGCGCCGCCTCGAGCTGCTCCTGCTTCGGATGCACGACGCTTGTCTTAGGTGAACGCCCTGTCGATGGGTACAGGTAGCAGTATACCTCATTGTAGCTAGACCGCACCGCACCGGCGGTGTGGTACGCCCGCAGCTGCAGCGCCTGCCGCGCCACCTCGTCGAGGATGCTTCGAAACACTGGGAACGCCTCCCTCGGCGTACCAAAGTCAGTCAGGTTAAGGCGCACCGCGTGCCCGCGCAGCAGATGCTTCGCGACGCCGATGCTTTTGAACCGGATCGCGTGCGGGTGTGTCCCGCCACGGAAGGGCACCTCGACGCACTCCTTTGTTGGAGGTGGCTGTACACCCAACTTTTGCATCTTGAAGCGCAGCATGTCCCGCATGTGCTCGCGGTGGTCAGCGATAGTGCAGAGCGCCACAACACGCCTGTCGCTTTTCTCTGTGTGGATTGCTCCAACGCGGATGAGGTCAAGCCCGAGCTCGCGCGCCATGCGACGCGCCTGCGAAACGGGAATGTCGACATCCGTGTCGTCGTCGCCAGCTGGGAGCTGCACCTCCGCCCCGCCGCCGACGGGCACAATGCTGCGCACACGCACGAACGGCTCCTGAATCATCTCGTTGATAGGGTGCGCCTGGAAGTACAGCAGTGTCTCTTTGCGCACCTTGTTTGCGGAGTAGCCGACCTCGCTGGTGTCCATCGCCCCCTCCGCCAGCATCTCGTGCGCGTGGCCCTCCGCCTCGTAGTCGGTCAGCTGCCGCAGCCGGTGGCGGTTGTCGGCGTCGCCCCAGAAGTCGGGGCCGCGCAGCTCCAGGAGGCGGTCGTCCGACGGGCGCTGGTTGTACGCATCATACGTTGGCGGAGGTAGCGGCGGTGTAGGTTGCACCGCCCGCTGCACATCATCACCGTGTGCGACAGTAGTAGTTGTCGTAGTGCCATTGCACTCGAGAGGGAAGTGTGGATTCGCCTCTGCTGGATGCACGACCATCGCCTCCTCTTCGTCCGCCACTCCCAACTGATGTTGTTGGAGCGAGCCACAGCGAACGTTGAGACTGCATCTAGTTGGTGTCCTCGTTGCTCTCAGTGTTGTTGCGAGCTCACCCTTCGCCATGCGTCGGCGGTACTCCTCCGCACCAACGTGGTACGACGCATTGCCACGTCTCCCACCGCCAAATGCTGCGTACACGTTGTCGAACTTCGGTAGCTCCTTCGCGCGCTGGTGGTAGGCGCGCATCACCTCTCGCTCCACTCGGTCCAAGTCGCTTCCCAACACGCTGCTCCCGGGCAGCACCATGTCCTTTGCATCGTCATCATCATCCCCATTCTCCGCAACGACAACTTCGTCCACAAAGACAGTTGGTGACCTCTCGGTGGCGACAACAGTTGGTTTCTCATCCTCCTCCTCCTCACCACGCAACGCCTGCTGTTGGATACTGCGTCGGCTTTCATCCGCACGCGGCACCTCTGCAATGCGCACGTCACCTTCATTTCCTCGACGCTGTGAGTACACTGTGGTGTCCTTGGTGAGCTGTCGCAACTGCGCCTTGAGTCCCTCCACGGTGAGAGGGACGCTGAGCTTTTGTTTTGCCCGCCGCTTCGGCCGTTGTCGCCCTGTTGCTATGTGGGCGGTGCTGATGCCCCCCTTTGCGCGAGTGGCACCCAGTGAGGACGGCAGCGTCTCCTCAAAGTACTGGCCGCCCAACGGCGTGCGGTACATGCGCCGCTGCCACACCGACTGCAGCTGCACAACAGCAGGGGCCCGGCGCATCGCTCTCCTGTATAATGTGTGCAGTGAATATAAGTGTGTTTGTATGTAAAACAAAAACAAGGAGAAGAGAAAGGAGACTCTGAAGAAGTGAACAAATAAGAGAGAACGCAATGGTGATGCATGTCATGAAGCCACCGAAGGACCTATAGCAGCGGAATCCCTCCTTCGCATTCCGTGTCCGTTTTCACACTGAGTGACGGCAGCATACAACATTCAGCAGGCGCAGCGACGCCGTCGTGGGCGCGAGCGAACAACGCTGGCGCCCTATGACGAGTACAAAAACAAAGCGGCACCTAAGTGGTTCATGTACCGCCACACTATGCGGGTAGTTACACATGCAGAAAGCAATCAGTCTGCATTCGTCGTCACCCCACAGTCACAACACCACGATGTCGCCGTCACGATGGAAGTTACGCTGCACGTGAAAGGAAATGAAGGCGACAGCCCAAGCGGTGTATGTGTGTGTGTGTGTGTGTGTTCGCGCGCGTGCGCAAGGCAGATCTGGCCAAGCAAGAAAACAGAAGAGGGCCAAGCAATATCCTGCGCGGAGTACAGCGGAGAATACAAAAATCGTTACTACACAATCCAGCCCGTCCACGCACTTGAGGCGTTGGGTTGATATAATTAGAACACATCCCCCTTCCACCTTTCTTTTTCGTTCTTTCGTCTCTCTCTCTCTCCCACACACACACAAACTCAGTTTCTCACTTTCTGTTCTCGTTATTATTTTGTTCAGTCATTTTTCATTCGTGTATGTATGTATGTGTGTGTGTGTGTGGGCGTACTACACGCGCGACTTGTCTGTGTCGTCCTTCACCATCTCCTTGCTCACACTGAGCTCCTCCGCCGCCATGCGTGTCGCAGTTTTGAGGTGCGTGTACCAGAAGACGCCAGCAAGAGTGAGAACGACACCGGCGAGCTTCTTGTTGTTCATGTCGCCCCCAAAGAAAATATACCCGAAGGTAAGAATGATGCACAGTTTAAAGTGCCCAAGCACATTGTACGTCACCGGCGACGTCTTGCCGATTACGAGGAAGATGGAGATGTTCACGAGAAACGCGACTACGCCACTGAAGAATATGGCCATCAGGGTGTCCGTGCATGGGAAGATCAACGTCGGGCCCTCACTCAAATACGCAATGGGCAGCAGCATCACCGCCGAGAGCGGTGCCTGGTAGAGCAGCAGCTGATACGAGTCGCACTCGAGCTCCTTCTGTTTCGTGCCAACCCATATCTGGTACTGGCAGGTCACCAGTAGCGCAGAGAAGGCGATGATGGCACCGCCAAGAGTCACTTCGCTGTCCGTCACCGTCGCAATCGCCACACCAAGGCAAATAACGCCCAGTGACAACTTAATTTTCGCCGAGAATGACTGCCGATATATGAATGTTTCCATTATCACGAGCAGTGGTGTGGTGAGAACCTTCACGAGCTGGTAGAACCCAACATTGTTGTGTAGCAACGACATATTGGTCAGCATGACAAACCCGCAGAAACTGAAGCTTAGAGGCAGCACACGCATCAGACTGAGCCGCTTGAATTCAAACATGCCACATCCCAGGCACAAGAGTAGTCCAAGAAACGTCATTGTAAAATGTATCAGTGTCAGCGTCGTGCTCGCTCTGAAGTCGTGGTCCTCAAATATCCACTTGTTAATAAATACGATGGTGATGCTGCTAAATGCATTGAGGGCCAAGTAAAATGGCACCAGCGCGCGTTGAGGTATAAGGGCCATTGTTTCGATCTTGCAGAAGTGTTTGTATGTATGCAATAGGGAGTGTCAGTGCANCACCAGCGCGCGTTGAGGTATAAGGGCCATTGTTTCGATCTTGCAGAAGTGTTTGTATGTATGCAATAGGGAGTGTCAGTGCAATGAGCAAAAAAGGGGGGTCTGCTAGTTCCTCGTAAGTGTACAAATTACTATTGAAGGAAGAAGGAAACAATGGGATAAACCCTGCAGCACACACACGTAACAGCCCCAGACGCCAATGAAAAACATATAAGGCGAGTGTCAAAGGGACGCAGAATGAGTGAGTGAGTGAAAAGGATGCATAGTAACAATAGAAAACAAAAATATGGATGGCCCAAGGGCAGATACAGCAGTCCCTCTTCCTCCTTATCCTCCTTCTTCTCGCACCCCAGTTTCTCCCCCTTGTCTCAATGCCTTTTTCCTCTCTCTCTCTCTCTCTCTCTCTCTCTCTCTCNTCCTTTGTGCTCCCACCCCCTATTCATCGTCTCCTTTTCTCCTCCCTTGCCTCAAGACAAATAGCTCACCATCACCACCACCGCCACCACTGCTGTTGCTACTGATGTTGTTGTCGTCGTCGTTGGCTCTCGCCATTTTAATAACTCATATGTGAAGAAGTAAAACGCTATAAGTACACATTGTATCGGAGATTATTCGCATAATAAGGGGGTTGGAGGCGAACCCATTCAATAGCATCTGCGCGGGCAGCCCGAGCAGCGCCGAGAGTGACGGCACCGCTGCGAGATCGGCGGGGAGGAACTCACTCGCCTGCACTGCGACGACGCCCGTGCAAGCGACGCGCATCTCCCGCGGGGACAGGGCAACGAGGGGCGGCACGAGACGGTGGGCCTGGCGCCGGCTGTTAATGTGCAGCGCGCGATNTGCACTGCGACGACGCCCGTGCAAGCGAGGCGCATCTCCCGCGGGGACAGGGCAACGAGGGGCGGCACGAGACGGTGGGCCTGGCGCCGGCTGTTAATGTGCAGCGCGCGATACATCGCCGTGGGAATGGGGCAGCAGCTGGCCACCCGACGGCTGAACATGCGTGACGGTTTTTTTTTCCTTTTTTGTTTTTTGTTTTCTTTCCTATCACGTCGTGTGCGGGTTTCCTGGGGCAGCGGCGAGGCACACACACATGGATGGATGGATGGATGGATAGAGAGAGAGAGAGAGAGAGAGAGAAAAAAAGTCAGGAATTAAGAAGCTCGTGGCTGAGGTAGTGGCGAAACACGTGAGAAGCGTCATTCACTATCAGGCAGGAGCAGTATTAGTGGTAGTAATAACGCACTGCTGTTGTTGTATATGTTACTCTCTCACCTCCTCTATTTCTTCCTGTTCCTCCTTACTGTTTCTGAGGTTTCTAGCTTTGCAGATCTATGTATGTCGTGTGGTTTAGCAAAAATCAATGCGGTGTGTGTGTGTGTAGGCTCATGTGCAGTCCGTGGTCCCCCTGCCACCACTACAACTCGTACCTTGGTGGTATGCTCCAGCTGCCTTCTTCGCTCGCCTGCATCAGCTCGCGATGCGACAGGTACTGCAGGGCACCGTCCTCTAAGTCCAGCAGCGTCTTTACGAAGCGGCCAATGCGCATCTGCGTCTCACGGTCCGCCGCTGTGCGTGTCCAGAGACTCAGCTTCCAGTCGCGTCGTCGCTCGGCCCTGCGCAGCGCCACACCGCATATTTCCGTCTCTGGACACGGAAGCCGCTCGCCAATCAATGCAATACACAAATTCTCCCATGCCGCATCGACCGGGAGCGGTTGCAGTGCAGCTTCTGCAGGCTTTCCCTCAGTAGAGGCCCCTCTACCGCGTGTGGCGGATTCCTGTTGTTGTTGCTGCTGTTGAAAACGCACTACCCAGCGGCCCCCACGCCGGTTGGCCTCGTGCTCCCACATGGGGGCGATGTTGCGCCGTAGCATGTAGTACGTGATGCCGGGCGGCAGCTGCGATGGCGGCAGGGTGCACGAGACAATTCCCCAGAAACCCTCAGCGTTATCGAAGAGACCTATACTGCGCACCTGATCCAGCCACGTTGCGCTTTTTGCATTCGCCTTAGGCAACGCGCCCCCCTTGACAGCGCTGCTGCGCACGTTGTTGTTGCCACCACCCCCGGCCGCTGCGCCGACAGGGCCTGGCAGTACGCACCACATCTCCCACACGCCCCACAGCGGGGTGATGCAGCTGGGCGGGTGCACGGCCAAGTGTGGCTCATCAGGCCGTGGCTTCAGCCGAGTCTGCATGCTGCTTGCAGTGGTAGTAGTGATGCCACAACAGTACCAAGGCAGTGTACTAGAGAGAAAATAAAAAAGAGAAATCAAGGTAGATGTTTGTTGCTGTACATCAAGAAGTTACATGCACTCCTACATATCTCTCTCTCACACCATGAACTCAGCTTCTTGCCTTTATTTAACCACGGCACAACAAACACAAAAATAGGGTGAAAACGCATCAGGCCGCACGCATATATATATATATATATATATATATAGACGTTTTCAAAGGAGAAAAAAAAATGATAACACAATAGCGCACATAAGATACCGCTTGATAAAAAGGAAGGAAAACAGACATATTCGTTTCGAAGTCAGAAAGGGAATTTAAACAAGAATGAGTATCTCAGTCACTGGTAAAATCAAGATAAGTTCACTATTTGGGAATCGCTACCCATGCCATTAATGGAAAAGCACGGGAACTGCAGGCACTCAAGTGCCGTAGGCCGATCGATGGCGTTGGGTGCAAGCATACGCCGCAGCAATGTCTTCATCCCTGCCGAAACCTGTGCCCAGTGGGGTCCTTCGAAGTTGACACCGTTGCGCACAGCCTCCAAGTGCACTTTTGTCGACTGACACGGAAACGGCTCGTACCCTGTGAGGAGAATGCAAAGCGTCACGCCAGCCGCGAAGATATCCATCCGCTTCATGAGCTCGGCAGACGTGTATGCCGGGGCATCACGTGGAGTTGTGGCGGGCCGTTTCTTGGCACCGTCGGCTGCAACGCTAGAGGAGTTGTCAGATTTGGTTCGCTCGGAGGACACCATGAGGATCTCTGGAGCCGCGAATCCCAACGTGCCGCAGGGCGTTGCAGCAATGGGTACCTCCTCGTGTGCCAAACGGGGTGTCCCATTCGTCACTGGGACCGCCATATGCGAATTTCCGTCGTTTCTGCTACGAAAGTTGCTGCTGGTGCCAATACTCCCTGATTCTGTCCTCTTCGGGAAGGTGTTTGTCCCTTCGGCAAAGGTGCGTGCGTAGCCAAAGTCCGCAAGGAGGATATGTGGCACCTCATTCGTTTTTACTGCCCGCTTCAGCAGAATATTCTCTGGTTTAATGTCACGGTGCACAACTCCACATGAATCATGCATGTAGCCGAGAGTCTGTAACAGCTGCCTCACGACAGGAATAACCTCCGCCTCGGAAGGCGCCTTCTTGTTCACAAGCCAATCAAACAGATCCCCACCCTCGGCGTTCTGCATCACAACATACACCTCTGTCGGGGTCTGCAGCACCGAGACGAGTTCCACAACGTGGGGATGACTACATATCCGCAGAGAGTCAATTTCTCGCTGAATAATTTGCCACTTCCTACGTGAATGCACATCGCCCTTCTGCAGCACTTTGACGGCGACAGGGGCGTTGTGATAACGAGGGTTCGGTGCGCCCTCCCTCAGCATTGTCCGGTACACCGAGCCGGTGGCACCGGTGGCGATCAGTGCTCCTTCTGTAAAGAAGGTATCCCACGATTCCCCAAATGGGAGTGAGAGCGGCACTCTCAACTGTGTAGGACGACATAGCAGGCGTGTTTGACGCCAAGTCGCATCGTCACAGAAAGAAAGGATAAGATGCCACAGGTTTATTGGCACCTTGAGAAGGGAAGGCCGGCAGTTGCACACGGCACACACGCGAAACCTTGTCCCTTCGTCTTGGCCCTCTTCGTCGCGCCACAACATTGTGCACCTCTTGCAGCAGATGCAGCCACAGCGACGGCAGTAATGCTTTTCCTTCCTTACACCAAAAAAATGATCGCACATGGCGCACCGACGCACGGAAATGTCCAGCAGTCGCCGACCAAGCACAACTGTATGCTTCGGTACAGAATGGTCAATCTCTGTCTCGGCGAAGCGAGCGTTTCCCGCCCCCATGAGTTGTTGTTTTAGTACTCCACGTGTATAGAAAAGTATGTGTGTCTGTGTGGGTGTGTGGGTGTGCAGTGTCCGCCACCAGCTCCTGTCAACGTGGAGAATGAGAAAGGGAAGGAAAGTGCGAAGGATCTGTAGGGTTGAAGGAGAATGTAGGACTGAAACACGCCCGCAAAGTCAAATGAACTTCCATCAAGAGGCCTTGTGGTGGTGGTGGTGATGATAGTGTATTAAGCAATAGTAACTCTATAAAAATCGGACAGTGTAAACACTAGTCTCCTTTCTGTGCGGGTGCTGGCTCTTCTCCCGTGCTATTCCTCCCAATTCGGGCCTCTCGTCGCTCTTTTGCGAGGCACTTCATCAAGTCCGTTTTGTACGGGAAATAGCAGCTGACGTGCTTCATGTGAAGCTCATACCCCTCCACATGGTCGGCAGTCATGCAATTGTATAACATGATATTGTGCTCGTAGCATGGATGTTCCGGCTTCATTTCCGGATCAAACGGGTGGAAAGGGTGGCGGCCGAGAAGCTCGTTGATGTGTTTATCGCCAATCTCCGGCGGTGGCATCTTCTGTAGGTACGCTGTGTCGCCGTACATCCAGTTGATGGCGCGGCGGAAATATGTGTCATTCGACATCAGCAACACCACGCCAGTTCAATGGTGGGCCCTAATCGTCGCCTACACATGACAGAGAAACAAAGGGAAGGTGGAAGGGAAGCGATGTATTAGCCCAGTCACTCTGTGACGACCATTTGGTATTTCACTTGTAGACTTCAAGTGTATTTAAAGCTAGAAACGTCATACAGACGCGTAGCGCTAAAGCAACAAACAACAAAGGAGGGAGGTATGTGTGCACGTATGGGTTTGACAGCCAGAGCCGGTGTTGACCAGACCGACCGCCGTACATGCATACATTTATAGCACATCACGGTAGTTCTCTCTCATGTCGGAAGATGGGAACTTCGCCCCGTTTACAGCAAAAAGCTGAATATCACTTTCACTGCTTGTTGACCCCAAAGTGTCCACAGCAACTAAACCAAACATCCGAAGCAACTGTCCAATGTAGCGCAAGAGGATAAGCACCCGGTGTTCCGCCAGTGAGGCCTGCTGGCGTGTGACATGGAGAATAGAGAAGATAGTGATGCATACAATGCACGCGACAACTTCAGAAACATTGTAAGCCGATTCCCAAAAATCGCCACGCATCACGGCTAGTCGGAGACCGACTTCACCAGCGAAAAGAAACGTCAACATGCCCTCTGCCACATGGTACCAAAGTGACATCACGCAAGCACTTTGAAATATGCTGACCACTAAAAGAACGAGGGACGCACCAACAATGCATCGGTTGACATTGGAACTAAACAGGATAAAGTAAAGATTCTTCAGTCGCTCGCGCACGGGTATCCTGTGGGGGACTGGCCACAGATTATCCCTTGGCATTCAAGGAAGTCACGTCGAAGCGCACGGCAGAACCGCTTTCTACCCCTCACCACCAAAAAAAAAGTGTGCTTTAATACGATTAAAAATTACCTGACTATAAGAAAAAGCAAAAAAAAGATAAAAGGACTTTCAAGGAGGCTTGAGCTCAAAGCCAACGAAAATCATTACCCAGATTTCCGCATACAAATAACCCAGGAAGGCAAACCACAACTACAGAAAAAGAACATAAGACACAGCAATAACAGTATAGGTTGTGGCTTCCCTTGCGTTCTGGGTGTCGTGATCTTTTGGCAACATAGTAATCCCATCAGGCAGGCCCACGGCAATGCTCGCATATGTGTGTCACAATGTCTAGCAATGAAGCCAAAAATGCAATGCAAGTACGGGTGCACAAGCAGTTAGACCCACAGTAAGGCGAGCCGCATCACTTTCAAGGCACAGCTTTTGCCAATCGCTATAGCATTTCTCTGCATCTTCATGACCAGGATATGCATCTGGGGAAGCATTCCTCCGGCAGATGGTGCTGGGGCATCAGCAACTGCGACAGCATGACATCCAGTACGTTTTCCTCTCTAAGTGTAAGAGAATTCACTGCGGAAAAGTAAAAGTCCCCGCAGCGCAATCATATAACAATTTTCACACACAGACAAACGTGCACACCGTCCAGCGAAGGCTCGGGAAACAAAAATGTCATGTACGTCTATCTTTCCAGTATCCAAAACGAGACCTATGGTTTCTCACGACGATGGCTGGGTCACAAACTCCCTGACAACAATCCAGTGGGGTACCCCCATTTGATGAATCGGTCAATAAGCTACAGCGAGTGGAAAACACTATATTAACCCAAAGAATATTAGTGCTTCTTCATTCAAAGACATTTACCGTGCCCCAGACATCAAACATAAGCTGTCCTTTTTTCTCCAACAACAGCACGCGTTGTTCACGCATGCTCTCGTCGTCATCACTAGAGGCCAAGATATGGTCCATTAATCGTCGCCGTAAAGACCTTAAAACTGTCACAGGTCCGCACACAAACAGCTGCGCATCATTTTCAAGAAGCGCAGACCGAAGCACATCGGCATGAGAATCCAACACATCCGTAACATACTTCGGGTAAACTTGCTCATTTGAACGGGAAAGCGCCACATCATAGCGAGAAATGACGTTTAATTTCAGCGCCTCCTGGAGTTGTTTGTGGAAAACAAGCTCTGCAAGATTCCTTGCGCCGTAAATCACCCAACAACCAGGGTTCTTCACTTCTGACCACATACCAGCTTGGCGTTGGCGCAAAAGCTCGTGAACAACACTTACCAAAGGTGCGATACCCGTCCCTGCACCGACGAGTATCATCGCTGGAAATGTAGCTGCTGTCGTCATTGGCTGTGTGGCAAGCCGCAGCAATGCTCCTTTCAGACCTTTTGCAAAGGGGGTAGTATCAAACAATTTGGTACCCGCATACATTGGAATTTTGTGTGGTCGCGAAGAAAAGTTGCAGAGTGGATGCGACGCGTGTCCCGTGAAGACATGTCCAGGAGACCCATTGATACTTTGGCGACGAGATGCAGCATCACGCAAAAGCCCGGCGAGGACATGCACCGCGTCACTCTTCTTCTCACCTCCAGTGTCGCCAGACCTCTTCTTCTCAGTGATGTCAACACTGCGAAGACATAATTGCACGGAGCGCAGACACGTCCCTGCAGAAGAATCCCTAGTAGTATAATCTACCACACTGAACTTCCTGGGTCGCAATGGTCCGCTCACCTCCAGAAGTCGTGCAATGGGAAGCCGTATAAAGGGAAAAATATCAAGCATATCAATAAGCCTCGGGTAACAGAGTGGTGCTCCGTTGTTCATTACTGTTTTGTAAACGAACGGAGCCACCTCCTTTGAGGCACAGGTTTCCAACAGTTCTATAGAGCCCAGGTCCTTTCCAGTGGTATCTGCTGCAAACTGGGTGTCTTTGCTTGATGTTGCAATACGTAACAATGTTTGAAAGAAAGTTGGCCGCAGAAGGTAGCCAGAACTATTTATGTCGACAAAATACGCGAATAGCGTTCGTATTTGAATCCGACGCCGAAGTGGCAGCCAAGGTGGAAAGTGGTCCGGAGGGACAAACGGAGAGCGGTGAAGCTCGCACCACTGATCAGGACTGACCCCTAGCCGGCTGCACAGTTTCTCCACTTCCCCAACCCGACCACTGCTGCTTGTGTCATTATCATTAGGAACCAAAATCTCCACAGTATCCCCCGGCGACGGTAGCATTGGTGCTGTCATTTTCTCTGATTCCCCATTGTTCTCTAGAAGCAGATCAATTACGTGTACAGCCTGCCCCTCGTCTGTAGCGTCTCCATTCGTCGACGAAGAACTGCTGCTCCGCACTAAATGAACGTCACGAATAGATGAGAAACGATCCAAGATTTTTGACACCGCCATCAATGGTGTTATACCCAAGTCCTCATTTTCAAGGGCCTCCACATACTTGACCACAACACAGCCAATGTAATCGCGTGGTTTACAATTGTTTTCACTCAAAGACGACTCGGACTCATCACTATCTCCTTCTTCATCATTGTCGTCGTCATCCTCCTCCCCCTCCTCCCCAGGATATTTCCCTTGTGCCTTCAGCTCCTGCATCTTTTCTTCGTACCTCATAAGATCATCGAAGTAGACATCCCAGACACAACGTGTGCAGCCGCTTCCACAACACTCACTGGGGGCAGGCTCACGAGGACGTCTCAACCCTCGTTCATGCATCGATCCAAGACAAAAAAAAACTACATGGATGGAAAGAAGGAAGATCAATGCAAATCCATAGACAGGAATGTGATACTAACAATTCGGTTTCTTTTTTCTACAGTCTAACAACCAACAAATTAGGCAGAGTGTGTTGATTTCAGCAATTCCTCACCTCGCCCACGTCATGCCTAGGGCTCGGGTGAATGCGCCAGAATGATACGCCACATCTCTTCACGAAGGGATTCTAGCGTTAGCTCCTCGTTATGCCGCCACACGTACGGCTCCTTCGCCATAGCCTCGCCCTTGGCGTCTCTAAACTTGACAAAGTATGGATGCTCCATTACATCCTTCGCTGTAAGTCTCTTAGCAGGGTGAAATACCAACAGCTTCGAGAGCAAATCCGCCGCCTCAGGCGTCGCCATTGGAAAGAGCTCGGTAAACGGTCGAGCCTTTTGGGGTGGCTGTGCAAGGAGAAAGTTCCTTGCTTCGTCACTAAGAAACTCCATATCATTGACTGAAGGAGTCCCGAGTAGATGTACAATCATAATTAGCTGGCGAATGTAATCCGGACCCGGTAACAATGTTTTACCTACCAGCAACTCTGCAAAAATAAGCCCCAGGCTCCAAACGTCTACTGCATTCGTGTACTGATGTGACCCCATCCCTAGTACCTCAGGGGGACGATACCAACGCGTCACGACATACTCTGTGAGGGCAGCCGACGCTGTCCATTGATCATCACGCGCCAGTCCAAAGTCACAGATTGCCAGTGCACAATCAGCGTTCACTAAAAGGTTGCTTGGCTTTAGATCCCGGTGCATTACTTTTGCAGTGTGCAAGTAGCAGATGCCTCGAAATGCCTGAACCATAAAGTATTGGTAGTGCTCATTCGTCAGCTTCTGCCTGCTTCGAATAATGCGATGTAGATCGGTATCATACAAGTCCATTACCATGTAAATATCCTCGAACTCGTCCTTTCGTATCGGACGAATGAATTGCCGGAGGCGTATCAGGTTACTGTGATGGAGAGTCGTCAGTATATCCATCTCCCTTAAGATACGCTTACCCTCCTTTATATCGGAAAAGACTCGAGGCACCTTCTTTATAGCCACACGTTCACCACTATCCTCATCTATCGCAGAGCATACAGACCCATACGCACCGGAGCCCACCAGCTTCAAAAGCTTATGAGATTTAGTTACTTCAAACTTCTGGCCCTGAACCACATACAAGCGTCGTCCTTCAGCCAGAGTTTCCACTTCTCGGGGTTTATCCATCCTTCACTGTTACAAATGAAAAAAAATGCTTCCCTACACTAGCACTCACCCCCCATCAAAGACCGCTCTAGCAATGTCAAAAAAAGGCAATGTTTGGTGTGCCAAAAGGTACTTTAAAGCCATATGTTTCGATTCTGTTTGTTTTTCTGCCGCCGCATCCAGATATTGTCCTGTTTACATTTCAATAAATAATGCATGCAATAATGGGGGAGGGGGGAATCCGTGATTGAAGAATAGATTACGCTAGTGGGCAAGTCACAATCATCGTCATCGATGATTTCAAAAACTTCGCCGACACGTCATCCACAGATATAGTTCTTGGTAGTTTCACATCTGTTTCGCCCACCTCTATAGAGTCTGGAGACGCTGTTAGATCCACATCTTTCATCGACTTCACGCCAAGCGGAGGCTTCAAGCGCACCACAATCTCCGTCTCACCGCAACGCACAGACTCTACGGACCACTGCTGTACTGGTTCCTTTGACGGACTTGGATGTGGCGCTTTGAATCCTTCGTTTTTCGAGACCATACTCGTTGTCTCAGGTGCTTGTGTAGTTGTACTCACAAGTTGGCGTGTATCGATCACCTGACACTTCTTCCGAAGACCTTCAGGGAAGTGAAGTAGCGGATCTGGTGGCGGTTGATTGCACTCTTTACTTCCTCCCTCACCGTATAATCTGGCCTCGTTAAGAAACCCTTTTCGAATTCCGCTGCTAACGGGCATTTCTGATATGAGTGGTGAACGTTTCGTCTCGGTTTCCTTCAGGGAGGCGTTTAGTTTTAGCTTCTCAGGCAACGAAGCCGTTTCGTTCGCCTCGGTGCTGACGGATTCGCATTTTGTTTCCTTTTCAAATGTTTTCGCAAGCTCTGAAAGCATTTGATGCATAGCCTCTTTACCACTTTCAACATACGCTTTATCAGGGATTAATCTACAACCACGTACATTAAGTCGCATGCCACACTCTTGAAGAATCCATTCAATCGCAAGATTGGTGAGTCTAGTTATAAAGTGTTCAAAAAGGTGGTGACTCTTCACACAACGACGTGTCAAAAAAGGATGAACGACTACATCTACAACGTAAGCATATTTTTTATCCTTACACTTTACTGGAGATCCCACAGATATTGGCACAATAAGATTGTCCACGCCATGCTCATCTAGATAGCTCTCAGTGACCGCATCCATGTTCTTTGCCAAAGCCATCCCGACAGAAGAGTGACCACAAACATTGACCACAACCACAGTTTTCCCATCTGTCGCCACCGTTTCAAAGCAGAAACCTGCTTCGGCCCCTGGTATGGAAGGCACCATTTTGCGAAGCTGACTAAGAATAAATTGGCCCTATTATGCAAACAAAAAGAAGGGGGAAATATGACAAAGGGAGTACAATTATCGTGCTACACAATGAAATTTCTTCCCGCATGTCATCACGGGTAAACTCAATTACAGAGATGGAAAGAAGAGTGGTGTAGCAGTTTCTTCTTTTCCAACAAAGCTTCTACTTGTAAATGAGTTCCCTTTAGTCAAGAGAACATATCAGATGTCATGTATGTCCACAATCGGCTCCTGCAAACAAAAGAAAAACAATTTGTCCAGGCAACAGCAAAGTCGTTGGCCACCCCAAACTGTTAGTTAATAACAAATTCACCAGGGAGTCTTCTATTGCCATAAGCAAAAAAAAAAGGGACTTGGGTTTCGCAACCAATATGGTAACAAGAAATGAGATTCACAACGGAATAAGCTTCTGGTTTTACAAACTATTTTGACAAGTGAGAAAGGAGAAACGCGCTGCAGAACCCTAAAAGAAAAAATGAGCCACCTGCACGTTACGATTTATAAATCTCAAAGCGTCCCAGTAATTTATCATACATTTCTCTCAATGCATCCGTCATGGCACCAAAAATTACACAACAATTACATCAGCAACACAAAGCAATAGTCCTCTAATCACCGCTGGTACACATTCCACTCACACCTTTACTTCACAGAAATTGATTCATTTCTAAGAACAGCCTTTACTGAAAAAAGCAACTACCTACAAAATCCATTGTTTTACCTCGCAGAGTCATCCTGAACTAATACACCCAAGAGAACGTTACACCTTCAACGAACAACACACTTGTGATACCTCGCTCAACTCACAGTGATACCAAGGTCCAGTAGCCCGCATGGCCCTAAGCAGAACAACGCCAGCAACGCTCGACACTTGGAGAACTTTGCAGCGCCAGGTTTACGGCATCACACAGTACCGGGGCCAGCCGCGCCTTGCTGGGACACAGTATTATCCTTGTCGGTCTTGGGGCGCGTGTTACCGCGCCGTCAGCAGTATCATCCGCACCAAGTTGCTGCTTAGTGGAAATGTGGAAGAGAATCACGGCCCTACATTGAAGGGCATGCAATGGAACTCAGCTGGGCTAACACAGGCCAAACGCCTAGCCTTGAGTAAAAAGCTCTACGATGATAATATCACGTTCTGCATACTGAGTGAGACAAAAATGTCCCTCCCCCTGAGGCTGCTAGTTTTGGACCCCCTGGGTTCCAACATTATGGAAATGCAGCTGGGGACCGAAGAGAGACACACTGCGTGCCTTCTACTTGGCTCTAGTGCAGGCCAAAGCAATGTATGGTATAGAAGTATGGTACTGGGACGCATCATCCACCTCGCGAACAACGCTTAATGCCGGGCAGCACAAAGCTTGTAAAATAATCGCCGGCATTCCCAAAGGTAGCCGCACAGAAGATGCTTTACTTGAGGCCAACCTGCAGCCGCTCAGTACGACGGTACTTACTCGTAGCCTCAAATATATACCCCTGTGCGAAACGCGAGGAGGGGCGGTACGTGACAGTGCCAGAGTGGTATACCCGACCGAACACCCCGCACGACAACTTCATACCACAATCATGGCACCTTACCCAGAACTCCATATTGAAGCTAGGATCCCGCCCCTGGCGCCCCTCACGCTACGGTGGGCATCTCGAGCACTGTTTCACACATCGCTTGAAGGTATCACCGCGGAGGACCCGGACGAGGCCAAACTT